ATTTGCGCTGTTGTAATCGGTAAACGCCATACAGTTCTGAGAGAAAAAAGTAACCTATCTAAACAAAGTATCGAGAAAGAAATACGTTTCCATAACTACGACTTTTTGATGGTGAATATAATGCCTTTGAACTTGTTCGACAGCTCATGGAAGAAAATAATATTATAAGTGGTTAATGCAGATAGGAGGGCTGGAGGGGGATTGGTCAACATCGAAATGTGGGTACATGTTATTAGCATGTAGAGGACGACCTGGAACATGCGACAGATCTTTCACAGCAAGACAATAGCGACGGATTTAGAAAAGTGTTAGTATTGCGAGGTAGTACTCACATTTGTGAGTAGCGTGACCGCACCAAAAAGAAGTTGTTGTATTTCCACGGCATCCACGAGTAAATTAAAGAATACTAAACAAGAGAACAACAGACTATCAGTCTGGCAATCACGTATGAAGAGACGAGCATGAAAATAACAACCCATTGTTTGTAAATTAGATTTTTCGTTGTTAACTCCTATCCGATGCTATTGTTCGAATAAGTAACTCTTCTCTCCTTCTCTTGTAAATTCATACAACACTAGTGGCAACGAGTCAGTTTAAACGAAGAGCGCGTCACGTTTCGTCATTTTAAATTTAAAACAAAAGCAATAAACGATACCAACTGGAGATCAGAGAACTGTAAGTCTGTAGACAAAAATCGAACTGTTTTAGTTTATTTGTTTTACTGAGCTTAACTGAGATATAATTTGGAGGGGCTCATTTTAATTTAGATAGAATTCAGTTAGGTGAACTGCCAACTGCCACGCATTACTTATATCTATAAATGTCGCCCCCCAAACAGCAATCACTTAATTTTCAGTTTGTTACTTATTCATTCATGAACTTGTGTTACTCCGAGAAAACTCACAAATCATTCACTGAACTCGTTTGGTTCCGGTTTGGGGTTCTCAAAGAGGAAACTCCTTCAATGAAATCAGTTATGTCTTTGGGCGCTCTGATGTGTGTGGAGGACAATTTTCTAGCAAACGAAGATGCCAATGTTTGCAGTCAAATAATTGCATTACCAATTATATATATATATATATATATATATATATATATTCATGCCAATACATTTCAAGATATATCACTACTTGGGAATAAAATTGTCTTTGGAAAATAAAACAAAATAAAACAACACATTACTAGAAACAGCGCACAGAAAACTGTGTACAAAACACTGAGGTTAAGAAAAAAACCGTATACATTTGTTTGCCGTTCAAAGGGGACACATTAGCTGAGATCGTACAAAGAAGATCATCCGACGCAATTGATAAGAATTTCTATGCATCCAAGCTTCTTGTGTTGTTCACGTCCATGCAAATTGTGTGTTGGTGACTGAAGGACAAAGTTCCAGACTCTTCGGTCTCATTCTGTGTATACTCATTTACCTTTTCCTGTGGAACGACGTAAATAGGCCGCACGGTCAGGCGCTTGTCCTGCGTGGCTGAACACCAGAAGGATTAAGTGACTCACCAGTGCAGTGGTTTTACTCCTAGCTGAAACAAATCACGCTATGGACGTGTCCGACGCTTTCTGATCACTGTGTAAAGTTTGTGAGCGATTATCGAGGCAGGTTCGGCCTCGGATGCTGGCTACGGCAGAAGTGGTGTCATTCGGCCGCATACAACCCCCCTCTGTGTGCCCAAAAACAAGTTGTTCAAGCACTAAAGCTTTCCTGGCCTACCCCAAACACACGCCCTTTCACGAGTAATCTCGATGATCGGATGAGTGGACAAAGAAATTTGTGATTTTGGTGATCCTAGGTTCCGGTTTCATGATGGAATCGTTTCCAGTAATCTGTGGTTTTATTTCATTCTATTTTCCCAAAGACAATTTTAATCCCCAATAGTGATATATATATACATATATCGATATATTGGCATGAATACGGATATCTGAAAACTAGCTTGTCCGCCACTGTGTTGTGCTGTTTGAAATATGCTCAGTGGGACTATTTCGACAAATATGTTTTATTGCGGTTAAATGCAGTCATCCTTCGTGATTCGGATGAAGTCATGCCCACTCACACTAGTGGCATTCAATATGAATTAACACAGATTGTTAGTTGAACAGCGGATCGGGTCCACACGTCATCTGTGATTAGCCACGTATTAGGTTTGCGTGACATCACACATGTAATGATTGACGTCGATAATCACCAATGAAAACACATGACAGGATCGGTAGTTGTGAGAAATCATACACCGTTACGATGCAGTCAACTCGAATTACCAATGACGAATTAACAGTGGAGCATTACTCTCATCTAAAGACAATCCACCCTTCACGGGGACGGGTGTAGTGGTTAAATTGAAATGTCTGTGGCGAAATGACCTGAATGATGTTAATAAAGCAGAACTTTATCGGAAATTTATTCCATTATCAGAGGAGCCTTATAAAGATTTGCTCAACAGGAGAAGAATGAGCTGTTTATTGTTTACATGGACCGAGTTTTGCCAGCGGAACAGCATAAGTTACTATGTTTTACCTACCTTACCATTTCATCTGGCCATCTATGTGGGTCAATACGGCGATGTTTTCCCTCTCTCTCTCTCTCAATTAGCATTCTATGTAAACTGGAATAGTGTTTAGAATTGCAACTTCTCAGCTTGATATTCATGTATTCTATCGAATTTAAGACAGCCGTGATCAAATCAATCCCAGACAACCCCATGCATTGTTACTGAACTTATTATAGATCGCCTTTGACACTGTTTCTTCTTCTTATTGAGATGAAATCATTGTCATATGATACAAACAGAAACAAAAGATAAGAACCAGTTTTTTTGATGTTCAAGGAACTCGCGAAGCCCATCAATTAATTCATTTGTGCAGAGTAAGATAATTTGAAAAAGAGGAAAACTCGAGCATCATAAACCACTTGGAACTTCGGATAAGATTTATTTTACCTTACCAGGTACATTTATTTCATTCTGGTTGTCGCGTTAACAGAGCGTTGATATTCCTATAGCAAACAATCATAGCAATGATAACTCTTGAGACGCTGGGTTTGGGTTTCGGGGCTCAGAGAATGCATAGATCACTTGGCGATACCACTTCCCGCCATTTGCAATCGGTAGTTTGACATCTAAGAGTATTGCTGGCTATCGGAACCTCGTTTCGAAAAAGCTGACGGAAAACCACGACGAAACGCTGAAACTTTTCAAGTTATTTTAAAAGCGTTTGCTTGATTATCTTATTACGCAAATTAGACCTTCACATAGCAGAGTTCACCTATTGTGTTTCACCTCAGCTGATTCACCCGGATTAACTATATTTAGCCAGTGATAAGTTAAGTTCTTTTGCGTGTTCACTAGAATACCGAAATGCATTAAAATGCGGTGATAGAGACAGACCATATTCTATCAGTTGCGATTGTCACAGACTACTGTCTCTCTGCCGAAGTCAGTTTATCACATACCTCGGTGACACCGTTGATTCCCGGCTGGTAAGTACTGAGGTACTTCGTCCTTGTTTCTCATCATAGATTTGTGACAATCCAACATTGTACTCAGCCAGTTTCCCATTGATCTTCTCTTTCCAACCTCCGGGTCAGTTATTCTTTTTCTAAATTCTTCTTAAATATAATGTAACGTTACCTTCTAATATTAACTTCAAAAAGTATGAACACACAACCGATCACCTTGCACCCCACGATTGGCCAGTACTGCAACCTGTCGATCGTCGAAACATAGACTGATCCATGATCGGGATAGACTGTTGATTGTTTGTTTTCGTGCATTGACTTGGGGTCGATACACATCTACACAGGCTGTCTGGTGCCGTATGGTGTTCTGTGTTCTGAATGTAATAGGCTTTAAACAGAGCATCGCCTTATTCTAAATTTACATTCTCTACATTTCTTTGACCCCTAAAGGGCAGTAGTTTTTATTCGGTCTTTGTACATTCAAACTAGCTTATCTTTTTACACTGGAAATCTTTGAAATTCTCACAATATTGATAGGCTTATGTTGAATATTCTTTATTGCTCCCCCCCCAGTCATATCACACAACTGGTATGTCCGAACTGCAGTTGTTTGCATTTTTTGCTGATAAGGAATACACTTCTCGCGGAAATGTTTGCAGCAGCATCCTGTCACATAACACTCACCACACATTCAAGCGCTACTGCTTATCCATCGGTTCTTCAGGCAGTTCAATTTTAGCTCACATACAGACTGATTGGGATTGCCAATTCAAGCGTGTTCCGATATCTCCTTCCATGACAGTCATTTAGTTGATTTGGTACGGTAGTAACGCAGGCGGGTTACGTACGTAAACCGCTTAAGAGCGAACAGAATCCCCGGAGCAAATTAGGATAGCCACTACTACTAATGATCCCTAACAGGAGTTGACGTCGAGTTTTTGCTTCTTTCAGAGTGTATCGGCAACTGGACGATGTGTGAAGATAACCGTCGAATGATGGTCAGTCGATATTAACCCTAAGTTATTGAAGATTAATGAAAGGAGATAATACACGTTAGTGTTTGAAGCAAACAGGGGTACAATAAAAATCGAAATCAATTCTAACGGATATTGTACACGAGAAAAAAGAGAGATTTCTGCCGCAGGTAAATTTAGTATTCAATCTTTTCTTTTAAGTATCTGCTACATTTACAATTTGAAATATCGTGAACCTATTAAACTTAATAAATGAGAAAATGTGCTGCCATTCTATAACTCACTTGTTTCTCTGAGCCTAGACAATAACCAAGTTCTAGCATACTCTGAATCCTTTCTCATAGCTCACGTGCAACCTAAAATAAGCGTACCCTCATGTTCCCTTGAGATGCCGATAAGTTACACATATAGCCGCCCATTCGATCAACTAAACTGCATTCGATTTCCGTAGTCATCTAGTTATGCATATCCCCTCATACTGTCTGAAGTTATAAGGCAGCCGTTGGAACTGATTTAGAGGTTCATTTTTCTGTGATCCATCACAACTCTCTTTACCACTGCTATTTATCACTCACCTGGTTCTGGTTCGAGGTTCCTGGTTCTTCCTTCGGATACCAGCAACTTTCCCGATCCTCTTTACTGAGGCGATTCAGGAACAGGGCAACATCAATATCTAACTGTTGGGTGTAGTTGCGTTCCAGGAGTAATTGTTTCATCAAAATTTCGGTCGGATCACAAGACTGGGATCTAGTGTGAAATCCTTTCGTCGATTTTTGAACAATTTCCATTCTATTTCTAATCGGAATTTTCCCTAGACTTACATTTTTGTCTGTAGGCACCCAGGCGTTTCGCCTTGACAACGGCTTCATTTTCTCCCTTAGAATATGATCTTCAAAAAACTTGGTATGAACGGAAGAGTTGTTTGCGTTCGTTCGTGTCTCTTCTGTGATGCCGTCTTGCATGTTTGATTTCGATAAAACATTTGCATTTGTTCTATCGACCCGAACATTCACACGTGCGTTTGTCGACTTCCTCTTCGATGGTGCTCTGATGATCTCCTGTTGTTTGTTTCGGCGAACAGTTTTTCGTTCCTGACAAAGTTGGGGTTGAAAACGTAACCTTAGCTCCGTTTCTTTCCGACTTAGTTGTTGCAGGTACGGGATGAAGTAACTTCGCAAGTCAGAAGTCATTAATATGGACCGCAATTTGAACGAAGCGAGGACTACCTGACACAGGTTTAATTGTATCCGGGGGAACATTGGCGGTATCAGACCACCGCGTCGCTCATGATGTCCGAAAATGAATCTCTCTGAGTTTCGTTTATTCAAAAACAACACAGTGGTTTCTGTGGTTGCCTGGACTGACCAAATGTATGGATGACAATCCAGCAGAATTTCCAGGTCTCCAATACATGACGTACCTGATAATAATTGTAAAATAATGAACGATCGTTGATCACGGGTCCAACTAAGTGGCTTCGAAAAAGGTTTATGAAATATTGTTAGGATTTCATCCGCGAGAGTCAAACAAGCGTTCAACAAGTTCGGTAACTGATTATTAACCCCTAGTGGCTGAATTGTATTACTTTAATTACCGTTGTGTTCTGTACAATAATCAATAGTCACTATGGGGTATAGTAATTCGGCCCCAACTAAAACGCTCTCAGAATAGGAATACCATCATCCAATATTGCAACGTAATATATCAACTTCGAATCTTTGTAGCTAATTTGTTAGTTCAAACCAAAAATGAGATTAAAGTGTCGACACAGACACTCAACTCTCACCAGTCCCCATTTGATCTGAGACAGGTTAATATCAAAGCCAATCTGTCACTTAAATGACGTACTGTGCAGATTTTGTGCATGACGCTTGACCTCGGATTTCATCGGGGTAGTGAGTCCACCAAAGTCAAAATTTCACTATTGTTGCACAGTCTGTTTTCACAAATAATTAGTCTTGTGGTAAGGGGGCACAATTTCGTATAATCTAATCATGTAGCGCAGCCGTTTCCAATGTTTTATGTAGTTTCTGTGGTATTGAAATGTAAATCCCTGCCAATGTGTCATAACAAGATGAGACATGTTCGCTTTAATCTCAGGGAACGATGCATGTATCTCTGACCGTCATGAAACTAAGTGCTACGTATGAAGCAACAGGCTTCTCGATATGTTATTTTGGTGACACATTGTAAGATACTTTCTACGTACATATGGGCCTTTCGGCGAAGAAAAATAGCTTACTGGGTGAAATTTGACCACATTCTGGGGCATCGCTACTATTCGTCCCTGGTCGTTGTTCACCTATTCATGGTTAATCTACAACGTGAATATAGTCTTATCAACTACCTAGTAACGGGTCCGGTAATATATAGCTCATCTGAGAGTGAGGTTTATATAGCCTGTCACCTTCAACTGAGTGACCTCAAATAATATTGCATGTAATTAGTTAGGGACAAAAGCCTTTTTAAATTATTTATAATAAATATTGTGATGTTGTTCCTAATACAGTCCCTCTGTTTTAGGGAGCATTGTAAGTGGAAGCGCATTCATAGTTGCTCTCAACTTCAAAATATTTCGGTATGTAAGCTTCGGATGAACCCCTTCGCATTTCCGCCGTCATCAGGTAATGCGCACGGTCTTAGTTCAGCGTTATCAACATTAGTATCTAGTACATTACAAGTTTTCAGGTTCTGCCCGAGAATACATATTGTGGACAGACCTACTGATGAAGCAATCAAACATTGCTAAATGCAAAGCTCAACAGATATGTTAGAACTGCAAGTGTTGTGTACGCTCTTTGAGAGTTGTAAAGTCACTGTTCTGGGCAAATACATGCAAACCAGATCGCAAGCATTGGAGACCTCCCCTCGGCTGATTATGAAATGTCTTCAAACAAGCAGCCATATTTGGCGAAAAGGTTAAAATGTAATCAGTCAGCCCGAGTCACCGGCTGATCCGATTTTCAATATTGTGCCACCAATAAGTTCAGTTTAGTTTTTACAACCATTAACCATGCGCTTTCGTGCGCCGGTTTTGGTTGCTGTCTTTTGGTTGCCCATTTGGGTAAAAGAGCGAAATGAAGATTGGGATGTCGAAGCGAATTCAAGCGGAAGATGGGGAATACATATAGAATGGTGTTAGGAAAATAATAGGTGGATGCACGAGCGCCACCGTTTGCGACACCCAGCCATATCATTCAGTGTAGCTAACCATCGGTGATCA